AAAAAAGCAAGAGTGGAGTCAAGAAGATTGGTCAGGTGTGCGCTGATAGGTGTGAAGGGGTGGGAAGGAGGCAGTGGTTGGGGAGAAGCCTGGGGAGGGTGCAGACACTGCCGCCTCTTGTCTGTAGGCTCACATTTGTGCTGGAGTTTGGAGCTTTGGGTTCCGCAGATGCGTGCTTCTCTTTGAAGGCCAGCTTCTACATGGGGGGAGTTCGGTAGCTTTCAGATTCCATTCCCAGGAAAGTAGGAAGTTGTGGTGCAGTGGGCAGAATTTTGAAGTAGGAAGTTGAAAATTTGGGGTCCACTTCTGGTGGTTTGACCATGGACCAAATACTGAGTCTCCTAGGCCTGCTATTCCATCTGTCCAATGGGGAGCTTTCATGCTTTTTGGTTCCAGTGCCCAGATAGGAGAGCAGTCTCTCCCCCAGTGGGTGGGAGCGCCAGAGGAGAGGTAAGCTCCTCATTTCTGTGTAGTCTCAGTTTCTACTTAAACTGTAGTGTAGATTTTTGTCTTTGTGCCTTAATATATTCTCATTTATTTTGAAAAACAACAACAACTTCCTCCTAACTCTGGACTTTTCAGCAGCTGGTTAAAAGAATTTTGCGTTTTCCTCTGGCTGTGGATCTTTGAGTGCTACCCTATAAGCAAAGAGTAGTTTGGACTTGGGTTTTCAGATTTTGGTTCTGATGGAGAAACAGGAATCTGCTGTGTTTTGGCCATTATGACAATAACCCTTTGGATGAATTTTCATTACCAAGGGACCTGGATGGCTGTCTTTGCTCTGCTCCCTGAGTCAGTGTCATAGATGTGATCCCAGACAGCTGTGGGCAAATGATATGTTTTGCAAGTCATTTTTCCCATTTTTACATAGATTGTTTGCTTTTCTGATTGATCCTCAATGGACAAGGATACCACTGAGCTTTAGTTTTCTTTTTCTCTGTCAAACAATCAAAGAAAGAAAGAAGGAAAAAAAGGAAGAAAGGAAGGAAGAGCGGAAAAAAGAAAAGGAAGGAAAGAAAAGAAGAAAAAAAGAAACCACAGGAAAACTGGAAAGTACCAAGGGAATTCTTAGGTACAGTGACAAGAATCTTGGAGCATAAATGATCCTGCTCTAATCTATTAATCCAGTGGTTCTCAACCTTCCTAATGCCGCGACCCTTTAATACAGTTCCTCATGTTGTGGTGACCCCCAACCATAAAATTATTTTCGTTGCTACTTCATAACTGTAATTTTGCTACAGTAATGAATCGTAATGTAAATCTCTGATATGCAGGATGTATTTAAAGGGGTCACGATCCACAGGTTGAGAACTGCTGTTGCCTATTTGGATTTCTCTGGATCTATTTTAAAGTGGGGTACACCTCTGATCTTGGGGCACACTCTAGGAGGGTGGGTGTGTGCAGACCTTACAGGCAGAGGCAGAGGAACATCACTGAGCCTGCTAATGCCTGAAAGTCCCAAGAGATCCAGGTTGCGGCTACCATGGGATTTATGATGTTCCAGGCATGGCAGTGAGGTGGCCATTCTATAACAAACTAACGCGTGGGCTTCCAGGGAACTGGAAAAAGCTAGAATACTTAGTAATGCCAGGCATTACACTTGACACTTTACAAATATGACCTCACTTAGTGCTCCCAACAAACCTTTTAAGTAGGTTCTGCTTTTATCTCCACTTTAGAGATAAGGAGATTGACACAGAAAGATTTAGTGACTTAAGAGGGAGAGCTGAGATTTGAACTCAAGCCAGTCTGACTCCAAACCCATGCTTTTATTCATTCTTGTATCTTTTTTCTCAATATGCTTACAAATGCTTTTAAGCTCTGGGGCCTGCAGCCAGCATATACCTCAATGGCAGCGGTTCTCAACCTGTGGGTCGTGACCCCTTTGGGGGTCGAACGACCCTTTCACAGGGGTCGCCTAAGACCATCGGAAAACACATATGTAATTATTACATATTGTTTTTGTGACTAATCACTATGCTTTAATTATGTTCAATTTGTAACAATGAAATTGGGGGTCACCACAACATGAGGAACTGTATTAAAGGGTCGTGGCATTAGGCAGGTTGAGAACCACTGCTCAATGGTGTATGCTAGGCCATGTATCTTTTAGTCATATGAGGTTAGTAGAGGGCTATGACCATGTCTGCCCAGGTTGTGAGTGTGGTGTTATTAGGATTTTTACTTCAGAGGTAACACAAGATCTCCCCAAACCTGGAGCATCCAGCTTGGAAGGATTCCTTCCATCAGATTTTATACTTCTCCTTCCTTCCTCTAATCTCCTTTATGGATCTATCCAGTGCATCCATAACCCACCATCTCTTCCCTATAACCCTTTTCCTTTCTCCGGAGGTAAATTATATGAATAATGCATCAGTCATAATAAGTTAGGTTATGCTGCAAAACAAAGAACCCCAAAGCCTCAGAGGCTTAAAATTACAATGGTTTATATCCTGAAATAACAGAGATTTCTCTACCCATTTGTGTTTGTCATGTGTCACAGGGAGGCTCTTTTCTCAGTCATTCAGGAACCCAGACTGACAAAGCAGCTACCTCCTCCACTATGGCTAGGCTGCTGAGCCAGTGGGAAGGGAGAAGTTCAAGGATCTCTGTTGGCGTTTAAATGCCCTGTCACTTCTCCCAATCCATTGGTCAGAACTCTGGTGCCACCCAACCACAAGGGGGCCAAGCAGTCCCCTGTGCCCAAGGGGAGAAAATCAAATATTTGGTGAGCAGCAATAATAACCACCACATATACCATGCCATGTGTACTTTCTTCTTTTTTCTCCCTAGTTTGGCTAATGCAACCCAAGTAAACTTTATAGGATTCACATAGCCTCTTTAATTCCATTCCTCCGTTCTTTGTTGTCTTCCAAAACTTTTTCAATTACTGCAAAATAATTTCTCTCTTTGTGTGAGCCATTTGTGAGCCACAAGGAAAGGTCCTAAGTCTTGAAGTGAAATTATACGTATCAAAGAGCTAGGGCTACTCACCTCAAAAGCTTCTGAAATAACTAGAGATTCCTTCTGTTCTTCACAATGTCTCCCTGGGCTTCCTCGCCCTGCTACATTTAAGCCCATCTTGCCCCCATTGTCAATATTCAAGACAAATAATGCTCACATTCACTTCTACTGCTTACTGTTTTGCTTAATTAGCTATACTGCAATAGTATTGAATAGTATTATTTTCTACCAATTTTAAACTAAATGTAGATCCATTCAGGCACATTATAAATCAAAAGGACTTCGGTGTGATAACTGGGTACCTTATCACTGATTTAAATTGGCTTCTGAGGGAAATTGCATTATAAATTCCAGACAACTGGTTTGCAAGTCTTGTTTTAGAATGCATCCTTTTTCTAGGTTGGGGTCTTTTCTATAGCATATTTATGTATAATAAGAATACCAGGATAAATGCTGTGTTTTAACGGACAATTATCCTCTACTGTATCATGAATTATTATCTTTGAAAAAAATTAGAATATGTAAAAATTAGTTAATTCAAAATTTCATTAACATAATTTCCCCCTTCATTCTCCATTTCACTTTTTCTGTATTAACCCAGATCAGAAATTGTAGTGTTATTTATTTTTTAATCCTCACATGAGGATATGTTTATTGATTTTAGAGACAAGAAGAGAGAGAGAGAGGAAGGGGAAGAGAGGAACATCAATCAGCTGCTTCCTGCACACTCCCTATTAGGGTTCCAGCCTGAAACCTGGGCGTGTGTGCCCTGACTGGGAATCGAACTGGTGATCTGGTTCATGGGTCGATGCTCAACTACTGAGCAGTACCAGCCAGGCACTGACTTCTCTTTATATTTATCTCTTTCATTTATTTAGTCATTCACTCAATCATTCAACAGATACTTACTGAGTATCTACTTGTGCCAGGCACAAGGCAAAGTCCTGGAGAAAGTTAAAAATGGTCTCTGCCCTTAAGGAGATCCTGGGTAGTGGGGAGACACACTTACCAACAGTTATAGTACAGCTGACTCTTGAACAACAAGGGTTTGGGTCCGCTTATACGGGGATTTTTTTTCAATAAATACTGTAAATACATTTTCTCAATAACATTTTCTCTAGCTTCCTTTATTGTAAGAATACAGCATATAATATATATAACATACAAAATAGGTGTTAATCAACTGTTTTTGTTATTGGTAAGGCTTCCAGTCAACAGTAGGACGTTAGTAGTTAAGTTTTAGGGGAGTCAAAAGTCGTATGTGGGTTTTCGACTGTGTCGGGCAGGAGAGTCGGTGCCTGTAACCCCCAAGTTGTTCAAGGGCCATCTATACAATAAGATAATATAATGAGGTATCTACAAAGAGCAGGGGAAGCAGAGATGAAACACTTGTAACTGCCTGAAGGGGTCAGGTAAGGCCTCAGAGTGGAGGCGGCTTTGGGCCGGTACTTAAAGAAAAGGAGCTGGCCTGCTCAGCCAGGTGGCTCAGTTGGTTAAGCCTCATCCTGTACACCAAAACAGACCAAAGGTTACAGGTTCCACTCCTGCTCGGGGCACACCTAGGTTGTGGTTTCAATTCCCAGGTAGGGAGGCAACCCGATCAATGTTGCATTCTTTCTTCTTTCCCCTCTAAAATCAATAGAAAAAATATATAAATTATGGGTGAGGATTAAAAAAAAAGATAAGGAGTTGGCCTGACCAATAAGCAGGGTGAAGGAGTTCCAAGCCAAGAGGACGCGGAGCTGTGAGAGAACAAAGTTCTCCTATTGTGTGGGGCTTCTAATGCAAAATAGGAAACTAATAGTTGGGGAGTGGAGAATAAGCTTGAGTTGGTGAGCAGAGACCAGAGCACCAAGGGCTTTGCCTGCTTTTCAGAAGTTTGTATGCCACCTGGGAAGTAAGGGGCCCAGTGAAGACTTTTTTTTTTTTTAAATATATTTTATTTATTTTTACAGAGAGGAAGGGAGAGGGATAGAGAGCCAGAAACATCGATGAGAGAGAAACATCGATCAGCTGCCTTCTGCACACTCCCCACTGGGGATGTGCCTGCAACCAAGGTACGTGCCCTTGACCGGAATTGAACCTGGGACCCTTGAGTCCGCAGGCCGATGCTCTATCCATGGGGCCAAACCAGTCAGGGCCCCAGTGAAGACTTTTTGAGCAGAAGGATGACAGCATTAGATTTGGTGGCACGGTGGGAGGCTGGTCTGGAGAGCCAGGTCCCAGAGCAGAGCTTCTTACCCAGTCCTAGGACTTGCAAGAGGTCCATGGTTGGTATGCTTGGGGTCCAAGAACTTGGATAGGAAAAAATTACATTGTTATTGTCACTAAACTCTTAACTGAAATTGAGCATATTCTTCAAATATATCTAGGCAGCAGATCACAGTAGAATTAGCAGAAGTAGTGAGTTTATCACCAGTAGAAGTCAGGTATTTTGGTATCATTGTATAGTTATTGCAGATATCTCAAAATACGCTTTACATGTTTCACTAAACCCAAATTACTATAGCCATTAGACCCTGGGCTACATCTTACCATTTAATGAATTAATAAAGGAGTGCATGTATTATTACACCGCAACTTAAAAATTATGTTATATGTGCATTTTAGAATTCATCTTTTGTGATCTCCATATTTAATTGTATGATTTAAACACAGTATCCTGAGAGCGGGTCCATAGTCTTCACCTTGACTGCCAAAGGGGTCATAAAAGGTGAGAACTTATGCACCAGAGGAAGGTGATTGTGAGGAGGTTACTGCAGCCTAAAGCAGGAGCGGGAAGGAAGGTGAGGAGGAAGAATTTGTGGGAGGTTCTGGGGACAGAGTGAACCTGTTGATAGATCCTGGACAGAAAGCAGAGGGAAGGATCCACATACACCCTACTTCCAGAGCAGAATTCTTCCTATTTCTTGTCATGTCTGTCCCTTCCCTCCATTTCCATTGCAATCATAATTTAACTCAAACTTTTTTCAAAGTCATACATGTACGGATGGTTTGAATATCAAGCACTATGGAAAGACAACCAAAAGCCACCATCCCTTGCTCCTCTTCACCTGCCAATCTCACACTTTTTAAAAACTTACACAGTGTTATCTTTTTAGCTAGACTGGGAATTCTCTGCAGGAAATGCCTTGTAATCCTCACTTCGTTTTTCATTTTAGGAGTTGAATAAATGGCTGATAGATCCCAAAGGCACTTCCTGTTTCAAGGTCCTTATGTACATCAATTGTATCATACTCCAGTTCCAGAATTTATACCAACTGTGACATTCTAGGACATGGTGCTTTTACCTAAAAATTTCAAGTTTTCTGTCATTTGTTTTTACATAAAATCACATAGAATGTGCAAATAAAAAACCCATTTACTTGGGCCTTCTGGTTGTTTTTGTGTGAGTTTAGTGTGATGGTGGGTTGAATAATCCTATGTAATCGAAAACCAGAAATTGAGCCCTAGCTGGTTTGGCTCAATGGATAGAGCGTCAGCCTGTGGACCCAAGGGTCTCAGGTTCGATTCCCATCAAGGCCATGCAGGGAACCAATAGATGTGTTTCTCTCACATTGATGTTTGCCTCTGTCTTTCCCTCTCCCTTCCACTCTCTCTAAAAATCAATGGAAAAATATCCTCGGGCGAGAATTAACAACCCCACAACAACAAAAACCACCAGAAATTGAGAAGGTGGGTTTGAAATTTCTGTCCATTCCTTTTTGGGGGGGTGCCTGTCCTGTCTTGGTAGCAGTGGTTAATTTCCGTATTGCTGCCTTGCTGAGTTGCGATGGAGTGGCAGCTGAGACCTTTGGTTGGCTGGCTGAAGGTCCTGGCCCTGCTTCCTGTGAGGTCCAGAAATGTATAGTTCTGTGGTCTGAGATACTTTGATGTTTGCCAGATAAAACTGATGTTTGGTGCTTTTTGTAGGAAACACACATTTGGATATCTCCAAGTTGATTTGTAGGAACTTAGTGTTATTACAATTTTGAGGCAGAACTTTTTCTCAAGTGGCAGAAGAAGTAAAGGAACTTCAGTTTTGAGGGCTGTTAATAGCACCCTTCCATTAGTGCCCAAACTGAGAGCTGACAAAGTACTGGATTGTTAATATGGATTAATGGCAAAAATAAGTATCTGGACTTTTAAGAGTTACTGATACAGTAAAATACAGTTTTAGCTACTGACACTAGACTAGCCCCCAAACTTTTAGAAAAATGCGTATTTCCCCTTATTTTCTAAATAACATTTCTCAACCCAGTAACGCGGGGGCTACTTGGGGTTAACCTGGAAATTTGATTGCTGTTTTCCTGAGGGAGGCAGAGCAATGTTTGGGAGAAACGGACTCTGGAAAAGTTAGCTTCCCAATTTACACATAAAAATCACAGTCCTTTTCTTCATTAATATTATTATACATATTTGAAGAGCACATTAGAGATAGTGAAAAAATGAGAGATATTACCTGGTAATACGATGAGTTAACTTTTCTTTAAACTTATTGGTTTCTCCCTTAAACTGTGGCTGGGTAACAAGCCCGTGCTTGTTGGCACTGTAGTTCAGGCTCAGAATACTACCCTTGGAGCAAAATGACTGTTTAAAAAAAAAATGCTTTCTTGAAATATAATTTTTAGAGGAGGAAAATTTTAGATTTGGAAGAAATATTTAAGCTGCGGACTTTCAAGCCCAACGTCTTCAAAATCATTTAAAAATGAAGCACGGGAAGAGAGAACGTTCACGGTTAATTAAGGAGGTCAACACCCGACCCAGCGAGACGGGAAAGGAGTGACTTTGATTTACGTATCCGAGACCAGAAGAGAAACAGGCAGATGTTTCTAGGAACTAGTTAAGGGAGAATGAAAAAGACAGAAGTAGAATTGGAAAAAAAAAAAAACAAAAACCCACAGAATTTAAGAAGAAAGTGCCTGTCTGCGGGAGGAGGAATCCCATACCAGTTTCTGTTCTTCCTACTTGGGAATTTTCAAACCGAGTTCCTACACGGGCTGGCTCGCAGGTCGAGGACGTGCGCTCAGGCGGTCGACAGGGGGGTGACTGTGGCGCCGCGGGGCGATGCAGAAAAAGCTGTTTGTGTGCAGCTGCCTGAGTGTGGAGCCCGTTCGCCCTGGGGCCGGGCAGCTCCTCCCAGACACGCACCAGCGCCCCTCTGCTCCGGGCTCCCGGATCTCCTGCGAGGTAGACCGGGAAGAAAGGCGATGTTTAGCAACTGGCGAGGTCAGCGTGTTTAAAATTGAAAGCACACCGGCCGAATGGAGTGTTGAGAGTAAACAGCTGTGTTTACCATTTTGCTGTGTATGGAATGAGTTAACATCTGTTCGCGTCGCCTGAGTGACCCTGAGGCAGATGAGGATGTGGCTAGGCAGAGAGGCGTCCACCAATTGGCTCAGAAAAGAGCGGCCGCTCTGCTGTTGTTCATGTACGTGTAATATAACCTTCTATTAGGAGCTAGTTTTCAATTCATCTAAAAGTAATGACATGGTTATTACCATGGTTAGAAATCTACTCAGGTCAGGAGGCTATGAAGTGGAAAATAAAATGGCCAACCTGTCCCACTCTCCAGAGGTGACTGTTGTTAAAAAATCCTTTGTCTTTTCTCCCAGAGATTTTTAATGCAAGATAAGCATATATTTAAATTGTTTTTAAAAAGCTCACAGATAGTATTCTACATTCTGCTCTGCAATTTGCTTTTTTAATTTAACATTTGAGAATCTCTCTATATCTACATAGCGTAATATACCTTATGGTAACAAAAAGCTCAACCTCATTCATACACATTTGCACAATATTCCATGGTATAAAATGCTCCACTATTCATTGAATCAATCCCCTTACCAGTTGTTCCCAGCTTTTTGCTATTACAAACAACAATGCAGGAAACACCTCTATACTAATGTGTTTCTGGAGATATATATGTTGAATAAATTTCTGGCAGTGGAATTTTAGAGTCAAAGAATATGTGCATTAGCATTATTTTTTATTTATTGATTTGAGAGGAAGAGAAACACTGATTTGTTATTCCACTTATTTTTGCATTCATTGGTTGATTCTTGTATGTGCCCTGACGGGGGATCAAACCCACAACCTTGGCATATCGGGGTGATGCTCTAACCAACTGAGCTCCCTGGCCAGGGCCATGTATTAACATTTTAAGTATTTCCAAACCATATTCCAAAAAAGGTGCACTAATTAATATTTCAGTCTTAAATAAGTTACTATCTTATAAGTTGTAAGTATAATTGAGGTTTTTCTTAAAATACTATTCGTTTTTAAATAGCATAATTAGAATTGAGACCAAATAAGCATGCTCCTTTGCTAATTAAATGACCTGCAAGTTAAATCTTCATTCCAGGAAGAATGTCTCTGGAGTGCTAAGTGCTGGGCCGGCGTTTAGAACCAGCAGGAGGCTGAGCCCAGCAGCCTGGAGAGCCTTAGAGCCGCATGACCAGAGACATTCAGAGCTAAGAGGCAGGCACATGGCTTCATGCTTTGCCGGCGACTCCAGATAAAACAATTGACTGTTTTTAGAAATCCTGGGGCAGAACTGAAAAAACTAAATTTAATGTTTAATAATATCATCTTCAATTAGTTCTGTTCAAAAGACATCGATTGAGCACAACTGTGGTAAAAAGTTCCTCCTTCTCCAACTCCCTGTCATCCCCCCTCTACCCTCTTCTCCTACCTTTCTCTCCTGCTTCTTTTTTGTTTGTTTCTTTTGGTATATACCACCTCTCATGATACCAGAGGGGTGTTCAGTTTTAGGGACAAAGGAATTGATTTTTTGCAACTGAAAAGGTGGCTCTGGAGAGGGAATTATCTATGCCGGTGGTTGTTACCACAGTGAACCAACTGTGTATCGATTCTCCCCCCTCTGCTTATGACTCCAGATGCTTAAAGCCTTCTACCTGTTCAGAAACAACTTCATTTCTTATTTTTAAGTTTTTTAGTTTAACACCTATTACAGGTGAAACCAAACTATAACCAGAGACCAAGATACAAGTCAAGTTGCAAAAACACTATGGGCTCAAGTTGCTATTAAGTTGCTTAATAAGTGATCAGAGTAGCACATATAATATCTTTTAGATTATAGCAAACTCTTTGGGAATTACAGGACTTTGACAAGTATTTTATTTTACAAATTACCTGCTTGTTTAGAAAATGGCTCTTTCAAAACTCAGTTTCCTCGCCCTCAAAACTCCTCTTAGATACAGGCAGTCACATCAGAATAGAATCTAGGTGTCAAAAAACAAATAAACCCTGAAGTAAACATAAATGAAATTTCCATGTAAGGACTGAATCTCTGTAGCTTTGCAAACTACTCCATTATCATACAAAGACTTATGCCTTAAAATAAAGGAAATAAACCAACAGGCATAGAAAGCTTGTCTCATCAAACTCTTCATTTCAAACTCTTCATTTCCCTGTGACATATTGGAAGCCAGCAGGAAGAACGGAGGTGAAATGGATTGTCCCCTGTCGTCCCTAAATAGAGGGTTCTTCACAACAGGCAGGAAGCACCTGGGAGATGGCATTAGAAATTTGAAAACTGTTTTTGAAATAAGAAGGGAAAAATTGGTTTCTGAATCCAGCTGCTTTTAACACTTTTACATCCATACATTTTTATAATCTGAATTCTGATGATAATGAATTTAAATTAATAATACATTTAAAGTTAGGAAAGAATGCAGATGACATCAAGATAGGAAATTTTAGCTTAACTCTGAATCTCTTTTTCCTACTTTGACTAAAATTGACCTTCAGTATTACAGTACTTTCATTTTTACAACTCTTTACATATTCTGTAAAAAAGCTTAAAAGTGAAACAAAGATGTCTCTTGACTATTATAATCTCCACTGCCTAACTCTTCTAACTTTTTAAGTCCATTTAGACTTTAGAAGATATTCTTTCCCAAATCTATCCTTTAATTGACAATTTACTAATGGAATTTACTTTTCCATTTTTATTTTCCACAAGAAGAAATATTCTGGTTCATTTTATTATTCTTATCTTACTTCTTTTGATGTAATTCTTTTCTTTTGTAAATAATATGAAATTAATTCACTGTAGAGAATTCTGTTGCTCTGACAGCTGATAATATGAATACATATTTTCCCATTTTGCTAGGAAAAATGTTATATAAGGGAGTGAGTGGGGGAATATGAGCTCTCAGACACTGAAATTAAAGGAAAAAATTGTGCTCGTAGATCATTGATCATTTAAAACTTTGTGTTTTAAATAAAATTAAAGGAAATTTTACTACATTCAGCCAATATGGCAAATTGAATAATCCAACCAGAAACACAGAGTATCAATTCTTCTTGTCAGGAAGACTTTAAAAGTAGGGCTTTCTTAAGAGTTCTTTTATTACCTCGATTTCATTATTTTTGCAAAATATGTGATGGGTATTAAACTTAGATTTACTGCTGTACTTAATATCTTGTCAAAATGAAACAAGTACTTTTTGTCATAAATATTACTGATTTAAAAGCATTTATAAAGGGGGATGGGTATGCTTTTGGAATCTCATTACTGAAAATAAAATGTGCTTTACCTTTATTTTTTTCTTTTTATAATAGACACCCATTTACTGATTCCAAGTCACATTAGCAATATTCACATATTTTTAACTACTTTTTGTGATTTAGTTTTACAGATAGTTTTATTTTAGATTGTTTCATCTTTTAGATACCTGATTTATATATTTTGGAAGACACGTTTCACACCTTGTCATTATAAATTCAATGGAAAGACCAATTCCTTCTACTTTCTTTGTGGTTCTGATTTCAGATTTTCAAGTGGGTTTGTAGTCAATGTTAATGCACCTTTTGAGAATAAATTAAGTCTCCAATTTCTTGTGTGTGTATGCTTCTGGAGCTGGCATGCTTTTCTTCGGCAACTGAAAGTGGAGCCCGGTCCTCCTCTCAGATTAAATCTAGTTTCAGTAGTTTTAAATTTAGTTGGTTCGTGACCAAAGAAAAGAAGTGCTCACATTTTTTCTGTTTAATTTTAAACAACCACAATCTATGGTATCACCGTAGTTTGGGAACTTCAAGTGTTTAGCTATTTTTGGTTTTTGTGTTTGGTTAATCTAATTCCCTATTGTTCAGCATTGAATTTGTGATTATACCCTGTGGTAGTCTACAGGATTGCACAAACAAAATGAGCCACTTTATTTTATATTCTTTTCTTTTCTTTTGCTGATGGGGGTATGGTTGTCCCAGCTACTTCCTCTCTCTCTCTTTAAAAAAAAATTTTTTTTTTTAAATTGATTTTTAGAAAGAGAGCAAGGGATCGGGGGAGAGAGAAACCTCCATGTGAGAGTGAAACATCTATCGGCTACCTCCTGCATGCCCCCTACCGGATTTCGAGCCCAAAACCCGGGCATTTGCCCTGACCAAGAATCGAACCAGCAACCTTTTGGTGCACAGGATGATGCCCAAACAACTGAGCCACACTGGTCAAGGGCTTCCCAGCTACTTTCTCATAGCAAATAGAGGGCATCAGCGGTCGGCAAACTGCGGCTCGCGAGCCACATGCGGCTCTTTGACTCCTTGAGTGTGGCTCTTCCACAAAATATCGACTTCTGCGCATGGTCCACGAAGTTTTAATCGCACTGTACATGCGCGCCCGCATGTGGTATTTTGTGGAAGAGCCACACTCAAGGGGCCAAAGAGCCACATGTGGCTCGCGAGCTACAGTTTACCGACTACTGGGATAATTGTGGTAATTTTATTGAGTTTGCCTTATCTCTTTTCTCATCCCTACCTCCACGTACCCACAATTTAATACTTCTCAGCAAGAACCTTCACATCTCACCTGGTTATATACTTGGACAAATTGATGTTTTTGGGTTTACTTTAAGGCTGCGTTTCATGACTTAATTGCATCCTTACTATGTGCCAAGTTTTATGCCAAGCATTGTACATTATATTATTTGATTTGAACACCAGGTGTGGCATATAATCACATTGTCCTCATTTTACAGATGAGAAAACTGAGGCTAACAGAGGTTGAAGTAGGTCAATCCCTTACGAAGTGGCAGAGCTGGGATTTCAACCCAAGTTATGCAACTTTAATATTGGTTTGATATCTCATATCTGGGATCTTCAGCTATGCAATGCAGCCTGAGTTACTCAATGGGAAGCCGCTGTGATATCACAGCCCTAACAAAGAGCTATTGAAGGGTCTAGACCAGCGGTTCTCAACCTATGGGTTGCGACCCCTTTGGGGGTCAAACGACCCTTTCACAGGGGTCGCCTAAGACCATCGGAAAGCACATATATAATTACATATTGTTTTTGTGATTAATCACTATGCTTTAATTATGTTCAATTTGTAACAATGAAATTGGGGGTCACCACAACATGAGGAACTGTATTAAAGGGTCACAGCATTAGGAAGGTTAAGAACCACTGGTCTAGACCAAGCATGTCAAACTCAAAGGCTAACACGGGCC